GCCCTCATCCAGGCAGACTGCGAGGATACCATCGAGGCCACCGTGCGCAAACGGAGACTGTGTTTCGCGGGCTTTGTTCCGCGCATGGAGGACAGCCGCCTCCCCAAGCGCATGCTGTTAGGAGCGATGGCGGGGGTCGGGGGATACCGGGGCGGGCAGGAGAGCGACTGGGTGTGTCGTCTAGGAGAGGACCTCTTGGCCTTCAACATGGGAGAAGAAAAGGAAGGGGGGGAATGGGGAGAGAGCGCCAAGGACCCGGAGGTGTGGTACAACAAGGTCGAGGACGGGGCGGCATGGCTCATGAGAAAAGGGCACAGGCAGGAGGCGGAAGCGTCCGCGAAGCGCCAGCGCGCGAGGGAAGCAGAAGCAGAGAGTACGGCCATCTCAGGACCGAAGAGAAAGAGAGTTGGGGAAGCGGTGGTGGGGAGGAAGAAACGGCGACCGGGCACTGCTATAGAAGCGGGTAGGGCGGCCGAGGCAGCACTTGTGGCGAACTATGTACCCGGCTGATGTTGTTGCGCCCTGTTTCCCTCCCTGCTGTATGCTATACTCCTGATATGTCCTTTGTATTGCCTTCGGCCTCTGTGCTGTGTTTCTTTTTTTCATGACCTCCCCGCCTACTCTGCTGCGTTGGGTACCTTGATCTTGCTTTTGCTTTTGCCTTTGTTTTTGTACGTCTGGCTGTCTGCCCATCTGCCGCCTCTTTGTCCTGTTTGCTCCGTTACTCCCATGCCCTGGTGCGTGGTGCCTAGTGCTGGTACGTTACCCTTTGATTTTTTCTTTAGGCGGGTGTGGGAAGCGTCCTCCTCTATTTTTGTTTCTGTTTTACTTTGATCGGTTTCCGAGGGCTCTTTTCTCGAACGGTCGGTGCGGTAGCTGTTCTTTTCTTGCTATGATTTTTTTTTCTTTTTCCGAGTGGTTTGTACCCTATTTTTGTTGTTTTTTCCCGCGGCGTCGTATGTGTCGTGTTTTGAGATCACGGGCTCCCCATGTTTTGTGGACTTAGAGCTAATGTGAGAAACAACAACAACAACATTCAGTCGGGCACACATTCTGCCGTCCTCATCCTGCTCTCCTCATCTGCAGGCGTGTCCTCGGATTGGGTTCTTCGACGCTTCCCCCTTTCCGCGCTCGGTTTTCATTTTTTGTTTCTGGCTCCTGTGTTGTCCGATTTCTCCGCTCACTAATTCCCTCTGGCCTTTTCGCCCTTGTGCCAGGCGACCGAGAACTCCCGGGAAGCGAGATAGACGTGTGTTAGGATGATCGGAACTGGGGGTAGCTTCTCGCATAGGCGTGTGTTCAACATGGTGTCGGCATCTCGGCGGGTTCGCGCCGAGGAGAAAGTTGGTGTGATTTATCTCGTCTCAACTCTCACACATGTTCCGGTGAGGGGGCGATCCGAAGCACAGGCACAGACGACATTAAGTAGAAGGCTCTCAGGTCAAGAGAGATATTCCCCCAGTGCGCGAACACCATCAAAGCGTCATCATCGTACCGCCGAGCATGGGGCGGTCCGCTGTCAACGGGCGGAGATAAGAAAGTTGTCGGCGCTGTCTCAGACAGGCAATGCCGATAATACTCGTCGTGTTGATTTATCACATCGTCCGAATTATCAATGAAGCAGTGTTGAGAACGTCAACACGGCGGCGGGGGGGGGGCGAATCCACGGACAGCATTACGCAGGTACGGTCCGCAAGACACACAGGGACACACAAAACGTACTACAGTAATCAATACACGCACATACATCTAGAAGGCCTGTGGAGTGCCACCGTCGGACACTAGGTAACCCCTGCGGCCCAGCTGGTCGACGTACCAACTCGTGGTCACTCAACGGCAAGGACCCTCGCGCTTCGGTGACGTCATTTACTTCCACGTGTGTGTGTCGACCTTCCGCAAAGCCAAACTTCTCTCTCTCTGATTTCTGCATGCCATGTGTTTATCCGAGGCGTAGGCTATGCAGCGAAGAACACCTAAATATTTCCCCTGCGAAGATCGTTGGCCGCCTGGCTCATGTCATACAACCCCACGAACAAGATGTGGAGGTACTAGTAGCTAATTGGCCGCAAAGTACCGAAGTAGGCTCGTGCGTGCGCCCGTCCGTGCTGGAGTTTTGGAGCTATGGGAGGCGACGGTGATTGACACAGATAGGGGGGGTGATATTTCTTCATCTGCTCGGGAAAAAAATCGCCCTCTGCTGCTCTGCTCGGAATTCGTTCGTTTGCTTTGAGGCAGCGTGTTAGACGCTTACCTTGTTCAAGTTCAGCACAGGTGTTGTGCTATCTAGAGGCACTGACCACGGAATGATAAGGTAGCACTTGGGACAACTCCGGCATAAGCTACTTGTTGGGCAACAAGTTTCTACTTGTAGTAGATTGCAATTTGGTGCCTAGAAGGTGAAATGGGCTCCCTCCAGTCTGCTGGGTTTTTATGGACCCCATCACAGAAAGAAAGACAGACGGACATTTATGGTCCATTTTTTCACGCCCCCCCCGGTGTTTGCCGTCGGGGTTGGGTTTTCGTCGCTTGGCAACGACGTTGTAAAACAAGCCGCCCCC